CTGGCAGAACACAAAGCAGGCTAATTAAATATCCTAGCATGATCTGCCCCACCAGAGATCTGACTGTGATTTATTAATCATGGGGCTTTTAGGTGCACATGGAAAGGCAACTCCCTAAGTGCTTGACTTGCATAACAAAAACAGCAACAATGACAAAGCAAGAGAATATTTTTGATGATTCAATTTCCAGACTAGAGCCAATTTATGGACCCAGAACCTGCTTAATGAAAAGAGACATGATCTCAAGCCCTTACTGTAAAGCTTCCTATGAATCTTCAAAGAGACCTGAACTATACACTATGCATCAGAGAAGGAAAAATACCTTGTAAGGATGAGGCAACAGATAGATTTTTGACCTAAGTCCACCTCACACTCTGACAACTGCAACTTTGAACACAACAGAGGTTATTTCCATATTTTTTTTCCTGAATGAGTAATTGTAATAAATATGAGAACAGAAACTGTCAGAGTTTTTATTGCTTGACATATAGAATAATGTTTTACTGGGAAGAAGAACCAAATAAAACACTTGAATTGGGGGGGGGGGAGGGAGAGTGTAGATTCATGCTGCTATCAATGATCCAAACATTGTAAGGAAAATTTTTTTCTATGGCATCTCCACTCAATTTAAGCCAATATAAAAGATGGATAGGATGTAGAAAACAACAGAAAAATTAAAATGTAGAGACAGCTTCAATCAGAGTTGTTATTCCAGATGAGGTCTTTTCATTAATATTAGTAAATATCCTGGTACTAGGCATGTATCTATACATCTGGAAAATATAATTTTCTTAATCTTGATTGATAGAAAACTCCAGAAGCAGTCTGTATGCACTTGACAAAAATCACAAAATTTACCGTCTTGTATATCAGATCCTGCTCTATGACATAACCAAGAAACTATGGATATTTCAATGTCACACAAGATATTAAACTCATATATCATAATATATTTCTTACTTGATATTGAAGAGCAGAAATAGTAGACAAAGCAAATGGTTTCATAATATACACGCATCCCAGAGAGTAGAGGATGAATGCCATGGGGATCCAGGATGGAGGTTTGCCAAGGCAAGGAAGTCTCTGGGCTAAGTAGTAGGAGCTATGAAGGAACACTACCTTCTTTGTAAAGGACATATGAAAATCTCCCTAGCCTGTTACTGTTGTTTAATGGAGGTTGAATCTCCACCGTGGGGTACCAGGCCATGAAACTTGAACTGTTTATCATGAGCTTAGGGCTAGATAATCAATTTGTCCATATTTTTAGTTATACCCAGTAATACAGTGAGCAAAAGTGTTACATAAGGGATTAGTTCGATAGGCATGAAGATCCAAGTAAATTCAATAAGTACATCATGCACTCATTATACCTACTTTTTCACACTACTCCTTTTTTTCTTTTTCATCTCAGCCTGTATAATTTAGCCCATACCAAATCCCCTATGACTAGTTAACAGTGGGTAGGGGGAGAAAGTAAAGCTTCTTTTCATATCCTTCTACATGACAAACTAACCTTTATTACTATGGCCATGGAGCCCTGGCTAGGCCTAATCCTTTAAGATGGAATAAAATATAAACAATAAAAAAAAACATTAAGGAAGACATTTCATTATCTCTGATCTAGAGATGAAAAATTTTCCAGGTGGTCAGGGGAATGATAAAAATGGAGACAAGGGTATTTATTTGTATTCTGGTAAATAATTTAATATATTTAAAACTTAAATATATTTATATTATTTATTTTAAATCCTAGGAAATTTAACTTGATCACCAACTTCTCTCTCTTTTTTGCTTTTCCCTTAAGTTCCAAACAGCAAAATAAACCCTTAAAAAATCATTTATTCCACATCATTACACCTATATTCCCACCATCTTATCCTGACTCATTCTGTTGGTTTAATCTAGCATTATATTTGCATCACAAAACCATTAATGTCTTAAGAAATATTCAATTATTTTAGTTATAAAACCAGGAATGGATTACTTTAAATTAACTGCACTTGAAATATTAAGAAAAACTTATCACTTCTACTATACTTTCTTATTGACAGAGATATCAGCAATAAACACAAATTTCTAGATTTCTCTGAATTCAATCTTGACAAGGTGTTCTCTAACAAAACATCTATTGATTTTTGAAGGGCAAAACTCTAATCTTCCTGTGTTTAATTCTTGGATGGTACAACATCCTGAGGTATTGTCACCTTACAGCTCAGAGAACTAGGTATTCTTGATGGGCAACAGTACTGTGGGCATTCTATCTGACTAGGATGTTCTTTCTGCCAAACAAGGACGAGATTCTATTTACATGGTGAATGTTTAGTTCCTTCCTAGGAATATAATGTAGCATTCTACCTGGTAACAGAGCTTCTCTCTCTCTCTCTCTCTCTCTCTCTCTCTCTCTCTCTCTCTCTCTCTCTCTCTCCTTTCTTTTTCATGTGCTTCAAACCTGATCTAACTATCCAGGACTCTTTGAAGTCAAAGGAAGCTCTGAACCCAGAAAAGAATGTTAGAAGAAAAAGAAAGAGGATAAACACTTGAGGGATTTGCATAATCTTGTTGCCTGAGAGGTTGAGAGAATCTTGCACAAAAAAATCAAAAAGTCATGACTGGTAGGAAAAGAACAGAGGAAATATACATTTGGACTCTATCTGGACCAGGGAGTGAAGGTTCAAACATCAATATAACAGTTATTCTGTCTTACAGGACATGCCAACTTTGAGTCAGGTAATTAAGAGTCAAAGAGCAGAAAACCTGACCTTGGGCTTATCACCTGTGATGGTTTTCTCATCCTGATAAGGTATTAGAAAGATTACTTTTGCTTGGATTTTGCCTTTAATGATCCTCAGTCCCAAGAATATTAACATTTATAATTACAGTGAATGGCACATAAATTAATGACAATTAAATTGTTGCACACTACTCTTAAATGCTTCCACCTAATACTGCCTAATTATGTAGAATCTCTGCAACACTTCCATGCAAAGGGAGAAAACGCAAAGGCTAAGATTAATACTATAACTAGCAAACATAGCCTATATTTTTTTCTATTGACCTATTGATGCCTGGAAAAAAAATATGTTAAAATACAATTTATTTTCATTCAGGGTATTTTATCAAGCCAGAATAGAATATAACAGTCATGAATTTATATCTAAAATATTCAATATGTAAACTGTCCACATATTTATTAAATTTTCTTTCAAATATTAGGGTGTTTGAAAAATTCTTAACACAGGCATGCTTCACACATACCAAGCATAACTTACTCACTCAAATGTGTTTACACAGCTGTAAAATCCCCACATTAAACTAAAAATATTGCTATGAGTATGAAAACATGAAAGTTAAGTTGCTATAAGAAAATTACTAAGTGCTTCCTGTGACATCAATTCAGATGGGATCAAGTTTGTTGATTTTTTTAAAATTCTGCTTTAACATCTCCCTACACACATCACGGTTTCACTAATTCAGGGAAGGTACTGACCAGCTCGTCTATCTCTGCCACTACTGTCCCTCATTTCAAGATGCCAAGGAAGGAGGAAATTACACACACACACACACACACACACACACACACACACACACACTTAATATTGTGACCCCCAGGTTATTTATACCCAATTTAAAAGCCTCCTTTTACTCTATGGGAAATACTCAATGTAAACCTAACTATCTGGGTTTTAGTGAATCTATTCTTGATCTTGCACAAATCACTTAGTTTGCATCTAAACAATGTGTGGAGGAAGGGGAGGAAGAAATGAATGCAGTGGGGGAGGGGAGCAAACTTTGCTGAACTTTAGAATCACCTGAGGAGCATTTTAGGCATCCCCAGGTTGCTCCCAAAAGGGATTAAATCAGAATGTTCAGGCCTGGTTTCAGACATGTTTAAAGATACTCAGGTTCTTCCAATGTGCAGCAAATATGGGAGCCAGTAAATTAGTTAATATATTCACGGAGGCACTTTTAAAATTAAAAAAAAAAAAACAAAAACAGAGGGGCTTTCATATTATACTACAGGCCCGCTGCACAAAATTCGGGCAAGAGTAGGCCTTCCTTCCACTGGCTGCTGGCACCGGCTTGCCTCCAGCACCTGGGACCCAGGCTTCCCTCGAAGCCCTGGCTTCTCTGGAAGGACATCTGGTCTAATTAGCATATTCCGCTTTTATTATTACAGATAGCACTATACAAAGTGATATAGGATATTATTCCCAAATTAAGAACAGCACCGTAAATAAAAATAATAAATTAATCTTCCGTTTGGATTTTGGATTCAGTAGTCATAAAGAAGCTATACATAAAAAATCACTTCTACCTTTTTTTGCCAGAATTGCAGAAAGTTTAATAGTTGTCTTTGATTTGTATTTTAAGCTGACTTTAACATTATTTTAACCTTATTTTTTCCATTTCTCTATTAAAATTTAAGAAAAGTATCATCTATCTTCTTTCCTTCAAAAAATATCAAACATCACATTTTTTATTATGTTTACAATAAACATAAAAGAATATTAGAACTAATATGTGGAAAATAAATCTGAGGAGTCAGAAAGAAAATAATTTATCCAAAGTCACTTAATTCAATGTTGCTACCTATTAAAAGAAACAAAAAGTTACCCACTCCAAATATTTTTTCCCAATATTCTGCCACAATGATCTATTTGAAAACAAAGACCTATTCAGGAAATCTTTCTTGGCTAGATTTTGTTCATTGCCTGATGACTTGTACTATTTCTCTAAATTTTTAGTCAGTGTATCAGATTGGCCAGTTTATATATCACAGTAATCGCTGGGTATTAATACTGTCAATTTCTATAACCTTTTGTTTAATTAGGCTTACCAAAAGGATTATGCAATTTATGTAACTAGAGAACAACTACCATGTTGTTAATAGAGACAGTAATGCATCCATTCTCAATGAAATCCTCAAAATAAATTCAACTCAAAAGCAACTGCAAGTGTGATCCACATCCTAACAGTTATTTTGCCCTGGGCTCTGTTACCTTTGTGGGCTTGTTAGAATCCATGCTCTCTTTGAATTTCTCCTGAACAGTTTCTGCAAGTTGACAGAGCAAGGCACCATTGTCCAATTTCTCCATAAATGTTTCAGCAGTAATCTCCTTCCCTGAAATAACCAAAGGAAGCATTACAAAAGCACAATCACGCCCCAAACACAAATGTGACAGTTCATGGCAGCATATATGGCATAGCTGTACCATCAACATTCTATTCCAGCTGGGTTATATGTCTGGGATAGGAACTCATAAGAAAGACGTATTCTTTTGGAATTTTATGTTATCCTTTGGTAGCAAGAATCTCAATATTTTACATTTGTATAAAATAGTGTCAACTGCATACATGTTTTACTTCATTATTAAAAGTGATAAAGAATATTCTGGGTGAAAGAGTGCCACCATTTAGCAATCAGGCAGTCAATGACACTCCAAGAACCAGCTTCTACCAATGACTGGACAGCTTAGCACCTGAGATTTGCTCAGTGGCCCCAGATAATTACTTGGGCCTGCAAGACAAGGGCATACAGCAGACTGCATTTTGTGTTACATACATGCCTTTGCTCTCTTCTTTAATATGCAATAGAGCCATCATATATCAAAAATCAACCATCATTGGCTACCTTAACAGCATGGCCAATGCATAAAGCCATATCTCTAAATCCCATTACATTTGTTTTCCCAACTGAAATGATTCGCACAGGTAAAGTCAATGTCATTGATAAACTGTAAACAGACACTATCTCTAACCATTCTCTCTCCTCACACCACTCTTCACTTCCTCTCCTGCTGGTCTGACCATGATTCAACACTGTCCATCCCTGACCTTTAGCTGGTTAACCATTGTTTTTCCCTTCTCATGTGTTCCCAAAGCATATTTTCCTTCTTTTTTTCTTGTATTTTATAACAGTTTTATTGTGATATAATTCACGTTCTTTACAATTCACTCATTTGAAATGTAAAATTCCATGGTTTCTTGCACAGACTTGTGCAATCATCACCACAAACAACTGTAGGACATTTTGTAGCATCCTAAAGAAACTCTTTACCATTTAATTGTCACTCCTAATTGCTCTATTCCTCCAGCTCCTATAACACCACTAAAGTTTTCCTTCTATTCTCCCCAAACTCATCTCCCCCAAAGCTCTCTCCTACTCCTGGTTCTATAATCCCGTTTCAGAATATTTTATCTTCCTGCCTTCATTTCCTTCAAATTATTCAAGACAAATCCTATAGATTCATGCTTCCTTCTGTTTCTTGTGGCATCATCTTAATAAGAAATGTCCTGATCCATACTTAAACCTCTAGCAACAAGAACTATTCCTCGTACCCTCAACTTCTTTGTCCAATACAGATCACACTCATTGCTGAAATTATTATTGCTAAACACCACTTTCACTGGCTTCTTCTTCATCATTATGAAGAGTCCCTAATCTTCGACCCTATCTAAAATATAAAATATATCCACTTTAACCCAATATCTAAAGGTCTTCCCAAATCATCTCATCTAGCTTTCTTTTTTTTTTTTTTAATATATTTTATTGATTTTTCACAGAGAGGAAGAGAGAGGGATAGAGAGCTAGAAACATCGATGAGAGAGAATCATCGATCAGCTGCCTCCTGCACACCCCCTACTGGGGATGTGCCCGCAACCACGGTACATGCCCTTGACTGGAATCAAACCCGGGGCCCTTCAGTCCGCCGGCCGACGCTCTATCCACTGAGCCAAACCGGTCCCGGCTCATCTAGCTTTCTAATCTAATGTCCTTACACTCTGCTCCGTGGTCTGCACCCTGCCTTCAGGGTTCCAGTAGCCCACCTTCCAGCTCCTGCTGTCAGGACTTTGCTCCTGGCATGATTCCTGCCTGCAATGTCCTACTTCTATCTGTATGGCCAAGTTCCAGCTGTCCTTTAATCAGAAATCCAGAAAAAGATTCTCCCGGTTCACAATGATCACTTTTCTGTGTAGTGATACTCATAGGTATCACTCACATTGGCATTACCAAACTTCTGTAGCTGGTAACGTGTTTTGTCTAAATTTTTTGTCTTCTTCAATACCTCTTGAGGTAAATCTGTGTGTGTGTGTGTGTGTGTGTGTGTGTGTGTGTGTGCGCGCGCGCACGCACACGTGCGGGCGCACATATACATACATCTACAAAGGTAAACAATGTTATTCACATAATAGGCACATAGTAAATATGTTCAGTGAGCACATGAATTAACAGATGAAGAAATAAACTATTGGGGAACTTTGAGAAAACATTGGGTACTATCTTTGTGAAAAGTGAATAAGGCAAAATAAAAGGAAGTATTTTAAAGTTTTATATTGAGTCTCTCAGAGTTAACTTTTATCCTAAGAAAAATGCATGCAGCTCAAATCCATGAACACTTAACTATAACCCACATGGAACAATAGACTACTGGCTTAAAGTTAAACTCACAATACCTAACATATTTATATTTCAAGAAACATCTGTTTGAAATGATTTTCTTTTTCAGATTTGGGGGAAGGGCAGTTAAAAAGGGAAAGAGAATTACTTTATTAAAAAAAAAATCTTTTTTCTCCCTTCTGGATAGTTCACATTTCAGCCCCCAGTTAGAATAATGACTTCTGCAGGTGGCAAAACATCAGTAGCTCTAATTACTCACCACAGACATAGCCTATTGAAAATGACTATTATTTCAAAACTAGAGGCCAGGTGCATGAAATTCTTGCTCGGGTAGGGTCCCTAGGCCTGGCTGGAGATCTGCTGATCAGGGCCTTCCCTTGTTCCATGCAGTCCCTGGTGGTCAGCACATGTCATAGTGAGTGATCAAACTCCCAGTCTCCTGGTCAAACTCCCGAGGGGACACAATGCATTGTAGTCTTTTATAGACAGACAGACAGATGATAGATAGATAGATAGATAGATAGATAGATAGATAGATAGATAGATAGATAGAATGCAGCTCAACTCAAATCAGGAATTAAACAGAAAAAAAAGCCAGCACAACTGAATTTGTATCATGCATTCATCATACTGGCCTGCATTTTCTAACAACAAGAAAGTTATTTTGCAGACAAGTATGAAAAATAATTCCTATATAATAAAAGTGTAATATGCAAATCGACCAAACAGCAGAATAACTGGCTGCTGGGATGTGCACTGACCTCCAGAGAGCAAAAGTTCAACATAAGAGCTGCCCCCTGGTGGTGAGTGCACTCCCACAGCTGGAGCACTGCTCAGCCAGAAGCTAGGCTCACAGCTGACAAGTGCAGCAGGGGTGGTGGGAACCCTACGGACCCCTCGGAGGATGTCTGTCTGCCAGCTTAGTCCTACTCCCCAGACTGCAGGAGGGTGCAGGCCAAGCTGAGGAGATCCCCCTCCCCTGTCCCCAGTGCACGAATGCCATGCACAGGGCCTCTAGTATTAGAAATATTTTCAAAATTACCAATTAAATTCCAAGGTAAAAAAAAAAAAAAAAAAAAAAAAGGTAAATTTTAAATTGTTAAATATATATTAGTTTTAAGATTTTCCTACACTTAGATGAGGTTATTAGGTATTCTTGTTTCATTAAACTTTATGGCAATTTAGAGATTCTATTTGTAATGTTAAGTGACAAAATAATTATAATATTTAAAAGAGTTTATAAATTACAAAAAGAAAATGCTTTTTTATTAAAAAGTTAATATCAACTTACCAAAAGGTATGATTTTTACTTATATGCATTATACCTGAAAATTTTTCTTTATCCTGACTTCCATGAATACTTGAAGAAAGAATCTACATTGAACATCTGTATCTAATGAAAAATATATTAGGTGTCAGCTTTCAATTCTGTATATTTTATAGCTCCAAAAGGTGAGATTTTTTTTTTTTTGGCTAAAGCAGACACTGTTACATACTTTATAGTTGAAATGTGCTGCCTCAAATGAAGGAAAAATGCAAGACGGAGAAGTATTTTTAACAGCCATCACATGTAATGTACTTTCCATCCAAAGATTAAGAATCATAAAGTATATTTAAAATGTAGTGTATAATTATAAGAAATCAGTCATAATTCTTGTAAGGCCTGATATATTGTCTCATTCTTATTAAAAAATAGAATATAAAATTAGCTAAATTTAACTATGGCAAATCCACTAGAACAGGCTATGATGAACTAATTATAATTTCTCAAGTAAGCATTATACATTAAAGCTAAATATCTTTCCTAGAATATTTAATGTGTGTAGCTGGTTGAGATTTTAAGTTATAAATACTAGAAGCAGTAGGATTCTTATTCCATAGAATCATTTCTTCCTCAGCCCCATCTTCCACATGGTTGATATATTTGGGAAAAGATAGGACAATGAATATTTTATTTAAATTTTCTTGGCATACTGACCCTCACTGGGTGTACAGACTACTGACCTGAAGATCAATATAAAATAGTCTAGTCTAGAGGTAATCCCTTTGCTTCCTGAATTTATATTGTAGACTTTGATCTTCATACCATTTATTCTTTCAAAATTGACAGCTTGCCAGTAGACAAAGATTAGGAAGTTTGGTTTAAAAAATGCCATTGGTCACTTCCTATTAAAATAGTAGGGCACAATTATATGAAATAAACATCTGTCAAGTAACTAAAATCAACATATATGCTTGCCATAATATCCATAAAGATTATGTATCAACCATTAGTGTTTTAAAATGGAGCTGCCCTGGGGCCCTTTTATCTCATACTTTGCTGAGAAAGAATGTTTTCCTTCTAGTCAGTTAGTAGTACTAAACTCAGGTTCCTAAAGATATGATAGCATTTAACAATGACATTAAACATTTGAGTTTTTACTGTATGCCAGGCACTTTACAAGTATTCATGTGTTTGTTTTTTTTAATATGCTCACAAAACTGTGATGTGGGTGCTACCATTAAATTCATTTTACAGATGATAAAACTGAGGCACTTAGATTAAGTAATTTGCCTAAAGTCACACAAGGAATCTTGCTCTTTAGGTTTAGAGTCTATGTTCATTCACCATGTCCTTCCACTTTAGTAAATGTTTGCTAAATATATAACTATTTCTTTTTACAATGCACTCTCCCTAATCAGGAAGGCAGACAGTTGAGAAGTTGGAAGCCAGCAGTCCTGGA